TCTTTTCTTTTTTTCTTTTAATTCTTTCTTTCTTTCTTTCATTTTTTTTTTGTTTCTTTTTTTTGGTCATTTCCTTTTTTCACTTGTTCTTTTGTTTCTTTCTCTTAACGAGACACATATGTACAGTGGGGTAAGGGGAGCTAGGTGCTTGAGGGGTGATGGGGTGAACAAGATGGAGGGCCTGGCGTGTCCCGTGAACCACGTGCTCGGTTCGTTTCTCCATTCTCGTAGATTTCGCCAGGTCGAAAGAAATGTTTAGAAACTTTTTTTTATCTATTTTCATCTAATTTACGTATACAGGGTGTATCGACGGATTGGTACCAAATTGATACAACGTGTTCATTAGGTGAAATAGACGGGAAAGTTTATGTGTACCAGTGTCCTAAAATGATTGATTAAAAAATTATTCCGAATAGAAGAAGTTGTACGATGCCTCACGGTTTCATAGCTCTGTATAGTTGCTGGTCGATAAACGAACGACTGTCATCGTTGTCAGTTAACATTCTCTCGACTTTATGAAGCTTTAGGTATCACTGTTGTTCGAAAGTTCCTTCTTCCGCAATAATACAGGCTACCATTCGATGAAATAGCGATTTTCTGACGTTCTCGAGCATTCTGAATACATTTCCAAAACTCGTCCTCGGTGTTTATTATTTTTGCGTACACCAACTATTTCACGTGGCTCCGTGAATAAAAGCCAAGCAGCGTTACATCCGGCGACGAAATTGCTGGTTAAGAAAATGAAAGAGACGTAAATGTGAAAATGTGCAGAGGAACAACTGACACTCAAGGCAGCCATTTGTTTACGAATAAAGCAATTATAGAGAGCTATGAAACCGAGAAGACAACGATTCTTTTGTTTCTTATAATTCTTTGAGTAAATCATTTTCCAACCTGAGTTCGTACGAACGTTTCTCATCTATTTCACCTTCTGGATAGGTTACATCAATTTGGCGCCAATCTATCGAAACACCCTGTATATGTTACCAACAGAGCGTAAAATCCTGAAATTCGGCTAGCAAAATTGTGAAGTAAGATGATGTGCTTTTTCCTTAGGCAATGCATACATTGACCAATTGACGAGCAGGCAAAGTGTTGACAGAGCTGTGACACTTCGATCACAATGACGATCGTCATTCACGTTGCGACGAATGATGGATTTTGAAAACAGAATTTCTCATTTTTCTACGACTTTGATCCTTTTCGCTTTTGTTTGGTAATTCTTGTCGAGAAATTTCGTTCGTTTGCGTTCTTTCTTGTTCATCTGAAGTGTTATTGGTGAATTTTTCACGATTTAAAAGGGAACCTGACGTCGCAATCTAACGCGAATTAATACGTCAATACTTCTCGCCTGAAGTTGCGTTGGCAATGTACACATTGCCTAAGCGAAGTATGGAATGATATTTTTCGAATCGTCACACTTTGAATTTTAATTTGAATTAGTAATCGTCTGGACTTTACACATTGCCGGTAACGTATACGCTATGTACATATACAGCTAAGTAGGTGTGTGTGCATGTACAGTGGGTCAAAAATGTTTTTGACATGCTGGAATCTTTTCTTTCGCCTTCATCTGTACCATAGTAATTTCTCTTGTTTCTCTTTTCGTTTTTTTTCCTTCTGTTCGAACAGGCAACGATTTCATTCGAATGGCAAGAACATTTTTGTCCGACCGTCAATGCGCCAACGTGGTGAGTAAAAACACGCAAGCGGCGGCCAATGAAGAACACCAGATTCTTCTGTTTTTTCTTTCCCTTTTTTCGTCTTTTAATGGCAACTTATTACAGATGGTACAAATGATTCTATAAACTAGCAATTAATGTAAGTGTAGTAATTCGCATAAAAGAAATTGAGAAAGAGTATAGATATATATATATTGTGTATATAACGGTATACTTGTATATATATATATACTTATACGTATACATATACACGGTGCGTCGAAAACGACAGGCATCGTTGTTGATCCGGTCGTTCGAACAGAGACAAAGAAAATTAAAGAAAAAGAAAAAAAAAAGAACGAAAAAGAAACCACGAACGGGAAAATAAGACGTATGTATATAAAGAGAGAGAGAGAGAGAGAGACAAGAACGGAACACAAAAAATAGTAGACAGAAACAGAAGACAAGAGTAACAACAGATCGGAGAGAAAAGAGCAGAAATTCGGGAAAAGAGACGGTTAAAACGGTGACAAAAAAGAGAAGTTGACTAGATTAAACACAGTTAATCATCAATTATTATAAACGTCGTCGTCGTCGTCGTCAGAATAGCATCATTATTTTTCATCATCACCATCACCATCATCGTTGTCGGCGCCGATAGACGACGAGAGGATTAAGGCTTCAAGAGGGGTGGGGCAGGGTGGGTGTAGACGGAAGATTAGGTTCGAGGTGACAGTAAAAACGAAAATTGAGAAAACAGAAGTGGTTGTAAGGTCCAAAGTCTGAGTATTAAAACGAAACTCGAAAAAAAAAAAATAAAACGAAACAGAACAGAAAGACAGAAAGTGAGGTTAGGTTAGGTTAGGTAACGTGGTGTAGGATTATTTTGGTCACGCGGTTTATACACAGTCGTGATGCTGTATACACATGTATATATATATACGCAGACGCATGCTCTCGGTCCTTGCAGATTCTTATAGCAGGCTGGTTGTGCTTCTCTTCCAAAAAATCTCGTTCTTCCGGATACGGTTTTATTTATAGTACCAAGAAGAGGATCATGCTGTTGGATCATTTTTGGTATTTGTCGACTTGGTCGATTATGGTGGTTGGTTGGTTGGTCTTTTTGGTTTTTTTTTTCTGTTTGATTTTACGGTCTTTATGATGGTATAATAGTTTGTTTTTTTTTTTTTTTGGTTAACTGCGCGTTTATGGTTTCTCTATGGGGTGTAGTAGGTCCGATCGTACAAACAATTGAGGGGAGAACAATTTTCCATTTGGCTCATTTTTGTTTTTTTTTTTTGTTTTGGTTGGTTCACAGTTGGTTCGTGGAGCAGGTGGTGTTAAGGAAAAGAAGAGGAGACAGTAGTTTGACAGGGGCGAGGGGGATCGGGGAGGACGACGGGCAGGTGCACTCACTCGCTACTCTTCAAGTGTTCGCCCTGATCCATGGACAGGCAACCAGCGCCTCCACCGAAGCCGTATCCTTTAGGGCCGAACTTACGACCGTGGCACACTTTGCAAAACAGTTCACCCTCGTGCTCGGTGCAGTTTGTCGAGTCGAGCAGTTTGCCGCACAGACCTGGAACAGACAGGGAACGATTCTTTTGGCTGCTGCCTATTTCATCCTCCTTCTGTCAGGTATACACGGGTAAGTAGATTTTCGTCATTGTAAATCGACCTCAGAGGCCATTCTTGATAATTTTACAAGGACATTTTGAAATAGAAGCAGAAAAAATTTGATACTAGGTGAAAGAAATTTTGTAGTGTGATTCTGCGTGAAGAAATAGAGGGAAAGTCAAGAATGGTGAAATTGTGAATAACGCTTCGTTTCTTAGTTATAGGCGTCTAAAGAATGCATCCAAAAACCCCTGAGACAGGGTAACCCTTGGTACAAGGACCACGTGGTAGAGCGAGTCTATAGGGTAAATCTGGTGGGTACGGTGGGTTACCCTGCGTCAGGCTTCGCTTGATTCACCTTTTGAACTCTTGCTACTAGGAAACGAGGCTTCAATTGCAATTTTATTGTTCTTGAGTTTTATTTTATATTGCAATGAAGAATCACTTCTTGTAATTTTGCTTCTAACTAATATTGAGTGCTTTTTGTCCATTAAGTAAGTAGTCAGATAACTTCAAAGGCCCATTTTTCATTTCGTGTGAACATTTGAAACTCGAGTGAGAATTTAAGCTTGATTTAGACTTTTATAGACCAGAATTAAAATTCTTCTCATTGGAAACTGGAAACATATTAATAATTTTGAAAAAGAGATTTGTTCGAAATCTTGGACTTAATTAATTCAGTGCTGCATTAAACGATAATCGTTATTTATTCGAAAGTTCGAGGCAATCCGATGAATATTGAGACAAATTGAAAAGTACACGCGAATAAGCGATAGTAATCGCGTAGCTTACTACGTAGCTTACTTCCACCGACTGCGGAAGCCACGTATGAATATTCAATGGGCCTCCTATTTCGAGTTGAATCACGAAGTCGGGATTTTTCGAGGCAAAGCGAGTTCGCGCGGGTCGTTGCACCCTCAGCTTCACGCTGGGTGGTCCCAATTGATTTCTGGCTAGCATACAAAACTAATTAAGGCCAAGACAAACCACCCGGGACTGGCATAAAACTTATTTATAGAGAGGGCTAAATTTAAAAGACGGACGATGGTGTTTTTGCGTAACGGGACGCGCCGATCCCGTGATCGATCGAAACTTCTGTCGCGTAAATTTCATTCAAACAACAATATAAAAAATATTACAAAAATTTATCAAATATTATAAACGTCTGAATGTTAATCTTTTATTTTCAAATTTCTCTTGAAAATCGTTATAATTTAAAACGTTTGCAACAACTTATATCACATTCCGTATATGGAGAAAATAGATTCTTCAGATTTTCGTTTTAAATTATCAATTATTATGTCCCTGGCGTGTTCAAAGATTCAGTTTTCACCGATGTTACACGTGGAAAAATTTCTCAAAAAGTTGTCATTCTTAAGTTACCAATTTTCTTTACTTGACGTGTTCAAAAATTCATTTACTGTCAGTTTTACACGTGGAAGAATTTTTAAAAAGTTACAATTTCATCGTCGTCAATTTATCCTTCGGCGCGTTCAAACAAATTCATTTGCAATGTTGTATAAATTGTTAATACGTAAAATAGTGTTGCAGCAAGTTCATTGGTGGAGGGTGAATGTTTGTAGAGCATGAATATTGAATAACAAGGTGAAGGGAAACACGTGGCATGCTCTCGAAACAGTCTGAAACATTTTACGCGGCCACTTACCACACTTGAAGCACATCTTGTGCCATTTGAGTCCTCCAGCAACACGTTCTTCCGCGGCATACACGGATTTGCCGCATTTGGGACACTTGGGGTGCTCTACTGGTTTAAAAGGCATTTTGTCTGTACTGGAAAAAGAGAAAGAACCAACCGTTAGCATCGCGAACAATTTTCAAAATGAAAAATTGAAGGGTTGTAAATGTCAAATCTTCAAAAACAACCCCATAACGTTATAAGTACCATTGTACATAATTGCTGTTGATATTAGTTGATATCATTACTTTTCAATCAATTTTTTATGTTTTTAAAAATTTGTACTTTGTACCAATAAATGCTCGAAATTCTCATTTCTATAATACATTTCTGAACAATAATTACATCATAGTTTTGCAAGTCTAATATATCTCTTCATTTTTTGTTTCTCCTGAAAACTGTACTTTTTGATACTTGAAACGTTATGGTTTGGAACACTTCGATTTACTATTCTACTAATTAAAGTACTTCAAAGTGCTTGAATTCTGATTTTCAACAAGTTTTGTATATTCTTGAAAATAAAATGTAACGATAAAGTGAGAACAGAAAGTTTCGGATGATCACTATAGTATAGTTTATATTTTCAAGTACAAAATATATAACGATGTGTATTAAAAAATATTGAATAGTTAAAATTATGCTAAGCATGAGAAAAATACTGTAGTCTATTGGAAATATATTACAAAATCGAGGAAAAGAATATTATAGTATTCTATGTAATACTCCATAAAAATATAGTATTCCTATAGTACTTCATAAAAATTGTCCTATAATTTTCTAATTTTTAGAAATTTCTCTATATAATTCGAATTTATTTTCCTCGGCTATAAATGAAGAAACTAAGAGATGCTGATGCATCATTGGCTAGCGAAAAATTCATCCTTCGTCTCTTCTTAAAACAAACGAGCGATTTGTCGAAAATACACGAGACAGAATAACTAAATAGAATAGCAACGCATTGTTTGGTTACTTAATACAGCGCTGACTAAAACCTGAAGAATTTCTAGTTTCCTGTCGACAACTGTAACTATTTTTACAGACAGCCCTTATACTATTATACTATTTTCTCATTGAATTACTTCAAACTCTTCTACATCACATCTTTCAGTAATTATATCAATTATAAGTTGATTTCAATTATTCATTTTCTAGGAAATATGTCCAAGTACATACACCACCGGGCAAATGTTTGGAATTGCTGTGGCAAATTGCACAAAAATTCTCAAAAGTTCAATTATTCATTTTCTAGGAAATATGTCCAAGTACATACACCACCGGGCAAATGTTTGGAATCGCTGTGGCAAATTGCACAAAAATTCCCAAAAAAGGTTAGCATTTATAATAATTTTCCAACGAATTTTTTATCATTCAAATCAATCGAAATGAGGTAAAGTGCTTTTGATCTCCACAATATCAATTACAAATTAATAAAGAATTAGTGGCAGATTCAATATAAATATAAATTGGCAGGTGATTCCAAACTTTCGGCCGGTAGTGTAGATCTTAATTTAAATAGTATGTCTAACCTAACCTCACTTTTCCGTTAAATTGTATATTTCAATTATATTAAACTAGATTAATTATTCTTGCCTCTTTTAAATGTTCTAAATAGTACACGAATGTTCTCCAGAATAGTATTTCTGAATGAAAAATTCACAGATCTAAGAAAACTTATACGATACAATCATCAAATAACTCAAATCACAAAGATTTGTTTACTATTTAAGCAAAAATTTGTGTTTCTTCGATAATTTCGAGAAAATACCCTTTGATTTGATTAATTTCGAAGAAAACCTTTTGAAAAAATTGGATAAATCATTGGGGGAACATAATTTGTCAGAAATCATAACCTAAAAATGATCCTTGAGGTGCAATAAAACTCTTAACCGCAGATTCTGGATTTGTACCAGAATTTATGATGCATAAACATTGAATAAGAAGCATAACACCGGTAACTCTGCCATCGATTATCTAACCGTGCACGAGAAACGTAAACAATTTCAGTCTCATCCCTACTGCCCATGAACGAATCTATTTTTACCAGCATTTTGAACTCCAACAGCGTACATTCAGTCATCCACAAGTGAGAAAAACGGCACATATGAGAGAAAAATAAGTTTCTATGAATATCAATGAACATTTAACAATAATATCATCGTCAATGAGATTACTTATAAATTTCGATCATTGGTGATCGATAATCACAGGGAAAGGAGGAATGAAGAGTGAATGGGAGCATAATGGAACGATGAAAATTATAATAATTCCACTGTCGTGAAGACAGGCTGCATAAGTCTCTTAAAGAGCCATTAATAGTCATTCATACGTCTGAGGGATCTGTTAATATTAACTGCGATAATAAAGATGGCACTTAATGGGGTCCTCAGAAATTTTAGTGTCTTCCACTGCCCATCAATGAGGAAGAATGAAGGAAAGTGGATATTATAATTCTCTTGTCACGTGGACTGAGCTAGACAGTGACAGAAAAGAAGATAACTTCTAGTATAATGGTCGAATCGTTAAAAAGATAAATTTAAAGAACGAAAAAGTAAAAATTGAAATTTGAAATAAATAGTAACAAAGAACATCGTATCTCTGAAAAAGTATTTTCTATTATCTTCGTTGAGTATTCAGTGTCAAAATTGAACTTTGGGGTGTAAAGTTGAAAAACATGAAAACTTCTGTGTTTCTGTCTTTCGTTAATGAAAATCGAATGGTTGTAGAAACCATTCTACACACCTTGATGAACTATTTGAAAATGAAACGGAGCCAAAATTGCAGAAAATCAAATCCCATTATATCTCCTTTCCATTCACTAACAATCAAAATTTGAAAATTGAAATTCCACCTTACATGAGCTAACAAAGTAGATCTAAAAATCGTTGTGTACAACTTGGTTCACCACCATAAAATTGATCAAAGTCGAAGTTGCAAGACAATTAATTCTCAGGATCTTCTTTCTATCATCGATAAACAATAAAAATTGAAAGTTAAAATCCCTCACTATGACGGTTGGACACGTTGGCTGCCACGTTGATCACCTGTGACCGGAAATTGTTTCCTCGATGGGGCCACGGTGGTCATCCGTGACCGGAGTGCCTCAAATGTTTAGGATAATTAAAATAAAATGAATATCGTCAACTAAAAAATTTTGAACATCGTAGCTAACTAGACAATATTTAAAATTTTAAAAAATAGTAATAATAATAAAGCGTAATAAGCATAATGTAAAATTCTCTTGTGACACCCTGAGAGCAATATGCAAATCTAGCGTGACAGTCAATGTGTTAACAAAAATACCTTAAGATATCATTTTATGTACTCCGATAAAAGTGGGAAAAAGAAAAATTTTAGAATGTCTCCATCCCTCGTGAATGGTGAAAATTCTCTACCACGTGGCTGGAAAGGACGAAGAATCATATCATATATCCTTGGTCGAAAGTTGCAAGAAGTACATCAGAGACAAAGTGGCAGGAAAGTTGAAT